TGCTTTAACAAGTTCGGAAAAGGAGAGGATTTGGAAAGAAGAAGAGAAAAAAAAACCATTAGAGAGAAACTCACCGTCATATTCCATCTCGCTTTACCTCTCTCTTTCTCTAATCGAATTAAAGATTTGAGCCAAAGTACGTCGTCTCTAATCTTCTTTTGCTGATTTTGATCTCCGGTTTGCGTTTTGTCTACTTCTTTGATTTTCTATTCGCTTAGCTTGGCTGGCTTCTCCCTTTGTGGATTTAGGGTTTATTTGTTGTTGTGTTGATCAATTAGGGTTTTTGATTCTCAATTTGAAAAAAAAAAATTGTTCTTTTTCTTTTGATGTGTCTCTGTGCTTTGTACTAATCGAATCATTGTTTTTCATGGCAGGGGAAAACAAAAATGGTTTCTGGGTTAATCAACGAGAACCCAATTGTTTACCAGAAACAAGAGCGTCGTGCTCGACCTCAATCCAGCAATACCGATGAGCTTTCAGCAGAAGCCATTGATCAGCTCGAGATTTTTGATATCCTTTTTCTTTTGCACTTTCTCTGTTTCTTCCTCACAGTTACAGAACCAAATTGCAAACATTTCAAGCAAGTGTTCTTTGGGGATGCCATTATAAAACTATTGGGATCTGAAATTTGGTTTCAAAGTAAACAACTTGACATACCTCGTAAGCTTGAAAGCTTGCTTCTTTTAAGCTATTACAAGTCATGAATCTTTTGTTCTCATATGTGTTATGTTGATATTGGATCATTTGTTTCTCCTTAACATTCACAAATCATATAAGAGATATCAAAGATCCAGAACATCCTTATTCTCTGGAAGAGCTTAAAGTACTTACAGAAGATTCAGTTGAAGTGGATGATGACAAGAGTTATGTTAGGTAAAAAAATTGAACCTTTTGTATTGATTTTAGTTTCTACTTTTGAGCTAATTTGTCCTGAGGTCTGCCATTTTCTTTGTAGGGTTACATTCACTCCAACTGTTGAACATTGTAGCATGGTCGCCATTATTGGTCTTTGTATCCGTGTGAAACTTATGCGAAGCCTTCCTGATCGATACAAGGTATACAAGCCTTCTGATATTTTGTTTTCTTAGATTCACCGGTTATCAATTCTCTTTGACCACTGTCAAAATGATCTTCTGAGTTATGCATTACTGAGAGTGGTTTGAACATAGTCTAAGTAAGAACATTTGGCGAGAATTGTATTCATCAAGTGCCACAGTTAAATAATAAAAGTTCACTTACACGTTCTCCTTGTGATATGTGAGGCAAAGAACCATTTTTTTGTTTGATTATCAAGTTACCGTTCTGATGTTTTGCGAAGAGAATATAGCTTGAGGCAGTTTCTACTATACGTTATTACGACTGCCTCCAAACCACAGGCTCAGTCCTTTGAAAAAACTCTCTTCTTTTTCAGGTTGATATAAGAATAGCACCCGGTACTCACGCAACAGAGGATGCAGGTATGTCAGTTTTCGATATCCTTAAAGTGACAGAGGAAATTTCAGTTGATTCTCAAAATAGTATATGGAATGTAAAACTACCCTAAAAGTAGATCTGTACAAGTGCTTGTTTTTAAGACATTTCTCGTTTCTTGCTCTAAACAATGCAGTGAATAAACAACTAAACGACAAAGAACGTGTGGCTGCTGCACTAGAGAGCCCAAACCTTGTGGAAATGGTTGATGAATGTCTGCTTCCATCATTTGAGTGAATTACAAGCCCAGTGATCTCAAGGTGCACTATCAGACATGTCTCTCTACTTTGGTCATCCATTGACTAGGACTTAGTTTGATCTGCTGTAGTTTTTATATCCAGAACAAGCGATCTGCAGCTACAATTCGATTACTTAAAATTGACTACCTCTCTCTGCCCTCTCATTGTTCTATTTGTTTCTATCTTAAATCACATTCCTTTTCATCTTTTTTGCTGTGGAACTTGTTGTGCACTTGGTTCTTTTTTATGATAAAAGCTGTCACAATGTTATATTGTATATCTCTAGGCTCTACCTCGATTGTTGATCACTTAAACTCTTTAGAAGAAATAGTTCGAAGAGTGATTCGTGTTGTTGTTTTGTTGTGTAATATATCTGGACTCAAATCCTACTTTAAGAGAAAATTGTATAGCAAATTGGTCTCAAGGTCAACCTAATTGCATAATTTGTGACGATCCAACAGAATCTTGCAGTCACCTAATTGTATGTTTTTATCGGTGTCTCAGATAATCAGAACAAAAAAAAAACCCATTGTTTTGTAAAAGTTATTTTTTTTTCTAAATTAATAAAAAACATATGTAAATGGATACCATTTTGTTTTTGTTTTTTTGCTAAACAAAATGGATACCATTTTTCAATTTAGATTAGAACATCTGAAAATGTTTGACCGCTCTGATGTTAATCGGCCAAAGTCTTATCCTGAATGATCCCTTGAATCGGTCTTGTTTTAACCACGTTCGATGTGGTACGCACCATAAATGCTTACAAAAAGTTCATAAACTGAAATTTCCAATTAGAACCAATTACGACCGAATGCTTGGAGTTTAGGAGTGTCATTCATTTTTCTTTTTCCTTTTACATCAGAAAAATTAACTCAAATTCAGGTGGTATGTTAAGCTACACCGGAAATGAATAGAACATCCAATAAAATTAACAATCAAAGAACTATAAATCTAGTTAGACAAGCCAATCCAAGGATAGAAGGTAAGAGAGAAGCGTGGGTACAATAACTTAAGGCGTGAGAACTCTCTTGTCTTTGTGGAGAAGCTTGGCCATTCATCTGGTTTTGTGATTACCAAAGGATGATTTTTCATTGCGACATTCCATCATTGCGCAATAATATCTTTGGGTGATGGAATGTCGCAATAATATTATTTGGTAATGCTAAATCAGTTTTGATCTCTAAAAACTCCTAAATCCTCAAAAATAAATTCTAATACAAGATAGTTAATCTAAACATAAATAATATAATGAATAAATAATTTTGAAAAATAGCATTGTTACATATTTTTTGAAAAAGTGGTATTTTTGAAAAGTGAAACTTCAAAAATAGCATTTCTGAAAATTTCTCAAGATTTAAACGTATTATTAGTGTTGCCGCCATGTTCTAATTTGTCATAATTTAGATTCAAATCTAAAGAGTGGTCGTGTGCTAGTTGTAGATAATAATTTTAAAACAGAAACATACGTTAGTCCAATTCTGTTGATACTATTTTAATTAAGTGGATTTTAACTGTATACAGCTATTCAAAACGAAAATGAGTGTGTTACTAACAATTTATTAAAAAGGTACTGTATCTAATAAGATGATTTTGTTTTCGTTGAATGCTAATTAGATTATTTAATATGATGATAATGAGGAGACACATGTCAAATCGACTTTGTTTTCTTTATTCCTGGTCTTTAGGCTTTGCTCACTTTTTTTTTGGTTTGTCATATTTAAAGATTGGTTTAAACAGTAAGTGAGAGGTATTAACAATACCATATGTTTTTAATACATGCACATAGACATTTTGACTTCTTGGTACAAAGCCACACCACCCTTCCTTAATTTTTCAAAATTATTCCTCTCTCTGTTTCTTATTAATTGATGTTTTAGAGAATTTGTTACATTTCATTTTAATTGATATTTCTAAAATTTTATGTAAAATGAATTATGTTTTTGTTATTTTAACTGTTTGAATTCTGCATATTAATTTTTTACTGGTTGAATTGTTTTGGAACTGATAATAAAATATGTTTTATTTAGAAAATAATAAAAAATTAAATAATTTTTAATTTGTGTGTTACAATCTTAAATATCAAATAAATAGAATCATAGGGAATATTTGTTTAACGAAATAGTATAAATGATTTGGGACTAATTAAAACTGATTTAGGAAGACTCTTTGAATATTCAAAGTTTGAAGGATATATGCTCTTTTTTTTTTATACTGTAGGTCTAGCCGTCTAGGCTTCTAGATACACCTTTTACATCAAACTAATTCAAGATTTCCATAAAAATACGAAAATATTTAAATTTTGAAATGGAAACTATGTGATTATTTGTCTATTTTTCTGTCATAATTGAATGTTTTTTTTATTATAGATATATGTGGAAAGAATGAGTGGAAAATACGATTTTTAAAACAATTAAATGAAATACAAATTGAAATCACGAAATATTATTTTGCACTATTGTAATTTATTTTTCAAATTTTGTCATTAATGTAATTGATTAGGGAGTAAAAAGAATAGAAAAGCAGAAAACATGATTTTCGTCTTTTTCGTGTACACAATTCGAATACTATCTGTGAATGTTTCAAGTGGGAAGGACGGTTAGTGGTGTGGGAGTGTTTAATGTTACGCAAATTAAAATTAAGTGGGGCCAATTAAATAAATGGAACGTACTTAACAAAAAAAGGTTTGTATTTTTTTGTTTGTTCATGGAACGCACTTGCTTTGTTCCACGGTCATTATGCAGTGGTTAAAGTGCGTTTCCAGATTTATAGGTATATAAACATATAATATACATATTTTTAAGAGCTTAGAAAATTTTGAAATTTTTTTGCATAAGTTAGTTTTGTCAGATAACATAAATCTATTAAAAAAAAATATTCCGATAAACAGACATATATAAAAAAAATAATTAAAAACTAATAATTATTAAATATGTATCGCATTTATGATATTCAACATTCAAACATTGTCCTGCACCGCTTGTTCCGCACCAACCGCATGATGCATTTCTCCTGAACGTATCGCATTTGAACCGCACCGCACCATCTAATCCGCTTGTCCCGCACCGCCCAATCCGCTGTCACCATTCGGAGCCAATGACTCTAGAACAAAGCAAGTGCATTCCATGTTTAAAATAGAACCAACAAAAAAATACAAACTTTTTTTGTTAAGTGCGTTCCATTTATTTAGTTAGCCCCACTTAATTTTAATTTGCTTGAATGGTAACAATAAACTCTCCCGCACCCTCTAACCGCCCTTCTCACTTGAAACATTCATAGATATATATATCTGAATTAAAATTATTATTATTTTTTTTAACACTGAACATCAATTTTATTAAATCGAAACCAGTATGAAGAGATTATAAAGATTCAAATGAAACACCAATAGGAACAAACGAAGAATAAAACTTTAGGTATGGGACTATGAAAAATCTCTAAACTTTAAGATGATAAATACTATCATTATCTTGATATCATAACTTATCATCATATGCTTTATGTCTATTAGCGAACTCTACCTCCATAAGAGCATGAAACCACAAAGGTCTTTCACAACCAACACTTTCAGTACACTGATTGCCAAAAGAAGGGAACAAACACAATGCTCCAAGCTTCCGATCTAACTTCGCTTATATGGTCGGTAATTATTACTTCTTTCAAAATATGTAGACACCACATCAACGATCATAATACAAACGTTCTGTTGGGTAAAACACAAAACAGTCGAACCTCATCTAAACGGATAGAGAGACATTTTCCGCTGCGAACAACACCGTCATCCCAACCGAGACCGGCGCCATCTCTTCCTTCAAATCAATCGCCGGTAACGATACGGATCCTCCACCATGAAAAAAGGAAAACCCAGAAAATTGAAAGTGTGGATCTAAAACACTACAAACACTAAGATAAAAAAGATGAGGAGACCGGCCACGGTGCTATGGAAGCCACCGGTAGCCGGTCCCCAATCACGAACGAAGAAGAGTTTTTCTGGTTAAAAGCTTGGGCGGCGAGGGTTTTTTTGCTTATTCATTCACTAATTATACCATGTTGTTTGGATAGTTGTACAAATAGAAAACAAAGATAGTTGGTTATGGATTATTAAGAAACTCAAAACTATACGAAAGTCAATAATTTCAGTTCAGAATATGTATTAGTATAATAGTCGGGTTTGTGTATAAAATAGATTTAATTATGCAGTTTGATTATACAAAAAAAAAATTTTGTTAAGAAAATATAAAAGTTAATTTATTGCATAACCAAAAAAAGTTATATCTTAAAACCTAACTAAAAATATTAGATTTAATAGCTAAAATTTTACCACATAAATTTTTTTGACTCTTTGTTTTTTGTTTTTTTATTATGCAACAAATTATCACACACATAAAAGACAACTACAGAACTCACAAAAAAAAAAAAGACAACTACAGACGCAAGAGTGAAATTTATTCTTGGAAAATTTGCAAAAATACCACTTTTTATTTGCATATTTGTAAAAATGCTATTTAGAGGTGTTTATTTACAAAAATACCACTAATTATAGATTTTTAAACCCTATATCTTAAAATTCTAAACACTAAAAAATGTTTTGACCCCTAAACCCCCCTAAACCCTCATAACTAAACCCTAATAGAACATAATTAACTCAAACATAAATAATATAAAGAAAAAATGGCATTTTTGTAAAGATTTCAAAAATATGTCATTTTTGTAAAGTGACATTTGAAAAATGGCATTTTCTATTTTTGGCGTAATCTGTTATAAACTTTTTCTAGTAAAGTTAAATTTATTGGGGCAATTACAAAAATGCCACTTTTTGTGTGTACATTTGCAAGAATGCCATTTAGGGGTGTCTATTTACAAAATGCCACTAATTATAGATTTATAAAGTTTATATCTTAAAATTTTAAACCCTAAAAATTGTTTTGACACCTAAAACCCCTTAAACATTCAAAAATAAACACTAATAAAACATAATTAACCCAAATATAAATAATATAA